TATTTGATATAGCAGAAGAGAGAATTATTGTAGTACATAATATTTTACCTTCATGTCAGAGCCAGAAAATATCCATACTGATTCATAGAAAGCAAAGAGGTTAGAAACAAGCACACAACAGACAAATAAAGTGATATACATATATGTGTGTGTGTACATATATATGTGTATATATGCTGCATACATTTATATTTATATATTTATGATTGTAATTAGTAAAGTAGGGAAAAGATTGACAAGAACAGATTGATGGAATTTTCACCAATAGCAGAGAATTTTTCCAATAATGAAAGATATCAAGCCAAGATTCAGGAAGCACTACCAACTCATAGTGGGATAAAAGACAAAAAACAACCTAAGTAAATTATAGAAAAACTTCTAAAACAGAAAGCTAAAGAAAATTTTAAAGTCAACCACAAAAAATTGACACTTATCTTTAAAGAAATAATAAAAATATTGGCAATTACTGTATCAATAGAAATAGACACTGGAATTAACCTCCAGTGAGAATGTTGGATATAAAACTATAGGCCAACTGGGCGATCTCAATGATTCTAAAATCTCAGGCTATAAGATGACTTCTTTTGCTTCCCTAACAAATTGCCACCTAATAAATTAGAGACTTAAAATAGGAGAATAACATCCATTTATTGCCACACAGTTTTTAAAGTCATAAATCTAGATTGGTTCAGCTTATTTATCTTCTTAGAATTTCACAAGGTCAAAATCAAGATGTCATACAGCTGACCTCTTGTCTGGAGGCTCTGGGAGAGAGTCTGCTATCATGTATCTTGATATTGTTAGCCACATTCAGTTGCTTATGGTTTTAAGACTAAGGGCCCCTTGCCTTGCTGATTATCAGCATAAAGTTGCTACAGCTCCCAGAGGTCTCTCCTCAGTTCTTACACATGGGTACACAGACCCCTTCATGTCAGAGCCAGAAATACTGTATTAAAACTTTCCCTTCTGCTGCAGTTCTCTTTTGATTCCAGGTAAAGCAAGTTTTCTAATTTATGTGCTCATTTTATTAGATTACACTTACTTGAATAATTCAGGTTAATCTCTCCACCTAGATCTATAAGTTTAATTATACCTGCCATGTAGCATAACATATTCATAGAATCTAGGGATTAGGGATGGATGTGTCTGGGCATCCTGCCACAAAGTGCAAAAGTCCAAAGACAGCTAACATTATGCTGAAAAAGAAAATAAAGGAAGATTTATCCACAAACCCCAAACTTAATATAAAGCAATGTAAAAGAAAAACATTTTGTAGAGGCATAGGATGGACAGCTAGATCAATAGAACAGATAAAAAGCCTTGCAATATTCAGAAACTCATCACATGACAGGTGGCATTAAAAATCAGCAGGGATATTATGAACAATTTAACAAACATAGCTAGGAAAATGAACTCTATATGAAACACTTTCTCTCTCTCTCTCTCTCTCTCTCTCTCTCTCTCTCTCTCTCTCTCTCTCTCTCACACACACACACACACACATACACAGTCCCTTACTTAAAACAGTCAACTTTTCAAATTGACAGTGGTGCAAAAGCAACATGCATTTAGGAGAAATCAAACTTTGTATTTTGAATTTCAATCTTTTCCTGGGCTAGCTGGATGCCATATGATACTCTTGTGATGCTGGGCAGTGGCAGTGAGCCATCGCTTCTTGGCAGCCATGTTATCAAAAGGGTAAACAAAAAAGCAGAAACTATAAAGAGAGAGTCTGATGAATTTTATCACAGTAAGAATTTTAGCAGTTTATACCATAAGACACATTTCAGATGAATATATTTAAAAAGGCTTTCCTTGCAGAATTTATATATGTATGTATGTATTAAATACTATCAATTCTATGAATCAATTATAAAATACAAAACAACCTATAGGAAAGTGAACAAAATGATATAAACAGATAACTCACCAAAGTGGAAAACTGAGCAACCAATGAGATATCCTTTTGCACCTATGATATTGAAAAAAAATTAAGAAGCCCAAAATTTGAGGTGTCAGTCAGGATATGGGGGATATGGGGGAAGAGCATTTGTGTAAGCAATGAGTGAAGCATGCACTGTGAGCATGCTCAGCATGCATTATGCACTTGCAAGGAATTCTTTCTTATTGCAGCTTAAGCATGAGATAGGAGGAAGGAAAAAGAGATTAAAGAGGCTGACAGACTAGGTAGGGCTTTGTTTCCATGTTGTGAAGTTAACTTTTTATCTGGGGGAAAGGGTGATACACTAAAGGGTTTCTGGCAGAAAAATTCAATATCAGGTATGAATCATATGAAGATTGCTCTGGAAACAAAATAGAATGGTTAGGAGCAGGAAGAACTGGAGAAAACAGGATGCTGCGATGATATCACACAAGATGATGGGAGCCAAATAAAGATGGCAGCTATACAGGTGGATGTACCCAGAGGAAACCAAAGAGGCAGAAGGAACAGAACTGTCATGAAGGATAAGAGAGGGAAAGCCATGGAAGTTTCAGGCATGGCCAATGTGGAAATTATGCAGTTCTCTTAAAAGAGTTTTTCAGTTGGAAGAATAGATCACAACAGTCCAAAATGATGAGCTCAGAGTTACCTTTGGAGGCCTGTGGTCAGTTGTTACTATGGGTCTGAAGCTCAGCAGTTAAGTCAGGTAATGGATTTTACCATAGTGATCATTGGTATGATAATGATCACTGAAGCCCTGTTCATGGATAATACCACATCTACAGTGTGATGGAAATAAAAGAGAGCTTAAAAACAGTTATGTCATGGGCTGACATCTGAGAGGTGATCAAAGAAGATAAATCTGAAAAGGGGCAAACAGGTAACAGAAGCAAAGCAAAAGGGGAACTTTCATAAAAGAGGGTCTATCTGGCAAAAGCAAATCCTTCAAAGACATAAAGACAAAGGCTGAACAGATACCACTCAGCTTACCAACTTTGAAGGGCACTGGTCATCTGCATCTGTAGCAGACATAGGCAGTCGTGATTGAGAAGTGAATGAGAAGTGAAGAATTTATGATACAGTCTTCAAAATCAGGTTTGGGGAATAGTATGACCTGTAAGGTGGAGGAGGGTTGCTTTGTTTTTGTTTTTGTTTTTCTTTTCTTTTTTAAAGTTGTAGCACTTTAAGAATATGTATGTATTTGAGAAAAGATGCAGTCTAGAGGGAGAGGTTGGTGTTAAAGGATAATGAATGGAAGAAGAGGAGGAAGTCACCCAAGGGCTTCACGTTGAGTGGGAGAAGAGTCCCTCTTCTACTGCAGAGTAGGCTGCAACAGGGAAAGGTATGTGGCAGTAATAAACGAACCTGCTTCTAACTGGGAATCAGGAAAACAATTCTATCTCATAGATATGTTTTCTCAGTAAGATTATTTGCTGAGAGGGAGAATGGAGATATGGGGAGGGATATGGACATAATTGGGGGGTGGTAAAAGGTACTGGCTCAGCTCATGAAGAAGACAACTTGCTGTTCATCATGAAGGGAGATGCTAAAGGCCAAGGTGTGGTTGAAAACCAATAATTTTGGGGTAGCAACAATCTGTGTATAGTGTGTGGGAGAGGGGTGGGGGGGATGTTTTCCATCAGTGCACACCAAGCAGGGTGTGTACAGGATGTTAAACAATTGAGTGATTGGATGAAACCAATTTGAGATCTTACTAGTTGAATGAGGCAGAGGGCAAGCACTAATTTTTATTGAGTGACCCTGAACATGAGAGTTAATATCTCTAAACCGGTTTCCTGATCTATAAAATGGGACTAAAAATAGTACATGTCTCACTTGGTTGTAAGACTTAAATGAGATGATAAAGGCTTCCTCATTTTTTTATTATGACTTTCAATTAGAAATATGTATGTTTTATGAAAATTAAATGAATTGTGGAGAAAGATATATAAATGGAGATAGTGATAGATGCAGATATATTTTTTTCCAGTGCCTAGTACTTAGTAGTATTGGTGATTATTATTGGTAGGGATATATTTTATTTTGAATATGCTGGTCCTAAGCCATCCAAGTGATTTCATAACCTGCTAATGGGCTGTGACCCACGCACTGAAAAATGCTGATACCTGGAACATACTCAGTCCTCAACACAAGTGGAAGGTAAAAAATACCATCTTATGTTTGCATAACATGTTCACTTTCCAAATTTGTTTTAATCAGATAGTTGTAATATGAGGCATCCCCCAAACTTCGTGTGTGCGACAATGCAAGAATGTTCAGAGGTGATATGATTAGATTATGAGTTGTAACCTGATCAGTGGATTAATCCACTAATATGGATTAATTGAGTGGTAACTGCAGGCAAGTAGGGTATGACTGGAAGAAATAAGTTTCTGGGAGTGTAACTTTGGGGTTTCTATTTTGCCTCTGGAGGAACTCTCTTTCTGCTTCCTGGTTGCCTATCTTGATCTGCTTTCCTGCCATGCCCTCTGTCATGATGTTCTGCCTCACCTTGGGCCCAGAGCTATGGAGCTGGCCAATCATGGACTGATCCAATGAAACCAAGAATCAGTTACTTGTCCTCCTCTAAATTGTTCTTGTCAGATCTTTTGGTCACAGCAATGAAAAAGCTGAATTAAAGCAGTTGCTTCACAGTCACTGTATTAGAAGTAAACTAAAAGTTTTAACTTTTCTCTTGAATCTACTCTTGAGAATTTCATGTCACAATGGTTTTGAATTGAGCAGGAGGAAATTTAAAAAATTATAATCACACCTTCCTATGGGCATTCATACTCTGACTCTTACTGCACATTTTAGGTTTCCTTAAATTATCTTGTGTGAAACAGATCATTTTATCGTGTCAATAAAGAAACAGAAATAAGGCATCAAGCCATTTGTCTTAGATTAAAAAATACATGATTTCTATGTAGAACATGCCCAGTAAAATGCACAGCTTAGGAACAACTTTGAAAGCATGTTTATTTTTCAGTTCTGAAAGTGAGCCAAAGACATTCATATCAGAAGGCACTTTTATAATCTTTGTGTTTTATTTTTACAGTTCTCTTGGAGACATTGAAATAGCTGAAGTGAATGCCCAGGGTTTGTTTGTGAGGCTCCTTAACTCTTCCCCTGACAAGGAACTAGAGATTGGAGATCATATTCTCCAGCAGAATGTGAAGGGACAAGCAGTTTCTTTGTACCAATTCCTTCCCAATATTGTAATGCAGGCCAATTCCACAGTGACGGTGAGTATGTGATAGGAATAGGAGGAACTGGAATTGTAGAGATAAAGTTCATTGGCCCCATCAGCCTGTGACTCGGTACCAGTGGTGGCATCTTCCCCAGATCTGTCCATAAAAAGTAATTATTTTTTGTTCTTGTTACTTAATTGTGCCAATTGATCTATCTTCTGGGTAAAAATTTATACCCATAATCAAAATTTCACAGCTTTCTTCAATTTAGTACATGATATCTCTTTTTTAAAAAGTGGAGTTCCCTATTTCCTTACTGTAAATAACCATGTCCTTAGAATACAAGAAAAGAGATTTTTTTTTTTTTTGCAGAATAGGTAATTGTAGATGATGCTGGAAGATTCCCCATCTTTCCTGTGCCTTCCCTTAAGTCATGTGCAGTAGCTGTTTGGTGTGGTACACAGCTTGGTATTAAATATTTCATAGCCATTATATTTTAAAGCCTCACCTGAAGCCAATCACAGTGGCATGCACCCCCCTGTACTCTCAGCTACTTGGGAGGTGAGCTGAGAGGATCACTTGAGCCTAGGAGTTTGAGGCCAGCCTGAACAACATAGCAAGACCTCATCTCTTAAAAATAAATAAACAGCACTAAAATCTCACCTGTTGAGATAGGTTAAGTTGCAATGACCCTGTGACCTTCACGGGACTCTGCTGAGCCCAGCAGCATTCATCAATGTTTTCTTGCAGGTGTGGGCAGCAGCATCTGAAGCGAAGCATCATCCACCATCAGACTTTGTTTGGAAGGAACAAAACAAATTTAAAACAAGTCCAGATTGTACAACGATTCTGTGCAAACCCAACGGGGAAGTCAGTGTCTGGTTTGTAACAATAGTTTTTAGCAAACTGGATAACCCACTTTCTGTCCCCTTCTTCTCGTAGCTTACTCGGCTGTTTTTCCATCCTGCAAAGCTTGAAGAGAGTCGGCACTAAATGCTATAACACATCAGGCAATCAATCCAACAGCACCCTCTTTCCAATGTCCAAATGCCAAAGAACTGCACAAATTTGACAAAAAAAAATGATTTTGATATGCCATATTTCTAAGAAACTACTTCAAATTTCAGAGTCCAGGAAAATTTTTATTTGTGATATTAGCTTGATGAGCAGGGTAAAGAGGGCACTACATAACAGTCTATTCATTTATTCATTTTTCTGATATTTATGGAGCTTCTATACTCTTAGGGCTGTATTAAGTGCTGGGAATATAACTTAAAGAAATATGATCTGCTTCCAAGGGACCAATATCCTTATAAAAACTTAGTCTTAATTTGAAATGACTATTCTTTGTCCACTCTAAAATTAATTGTATTATAAATAGCTTTGTGTAATTTGTTTCCAGTACTTGATAATTTTATACTGTAATTTTATTTTCCCTGGTATAATAGCATCATAAATATATATCCACTGACATACTAATAAAATTTAAAGGTGTGTTTGTATGACAACAAAGTTATTCCTTTTTCAAAATGGTTAGATTTTTCTTAAATATTTGCCTTTTTTTCTTATCCTTGGTCTCATGGTGTCTTATAACTACTAACCCACACAATGTATTGATCGGATTCTCTCAGCTTCTTTCTTGGTCCATCATCACTTGACTTTCCCTTTAGAATACTTGGCTAATTTATTAAGAGCCATTTTATGCCTTTCTGTGAGATCAGTTTTCATTAGATGGGGAGAGCACTCACCAGATGTCATTTAGCAGACTTTATTCAGTCCACTCTAAGTCCCTTTATGGGTTAGAATTGAATTTTATACTTCTGATAATAATTTTCACTATTTGGGAAGAAAAAAATTATGCAAGCTAAGTTATTTCCTCAGCCTCATGAGAAATCGTTAGTAAAGCCCAGATTAGTATGAAGGGAGTTCCCAGCTCAGAACTTTCATCACATGTATCCACTTCGTAACCAGGTTTGTGGCTGCTGCTTATGTGTGCACTGTTCCAGGTGATGGGTGCTGAACCAGACCAAGTCCCTGAGCGCCTGGAATGTGCACCTTATAAATTGTCATTCCCTGCCACTGAATTAGACTGTGTCCTTAGACTGTTTTACTTGCTGGTTTGAACTACTTTGATTGGTTTATTTTGAAGATATTTATATACATGTTATCTGTCAGGCATGGTGGCATGTGATGCAGAACTACATGTGATATAGTCCTTTTCCTTAGGAGACACAGAATTTTTTTTAAGTAGAAATTGAATTAGCCAGAAATAACTGCAATGCTGTGAAAACAGTACTTAAAGAGAAATATGTGCACAGAGCATGACAGCCCATGTCACAGATGTCAACTATGTAAAGGAGTGTCAGGAAAATTGTTGGCAGGAAGAAACACTTGTCCTGAGTCTGTGAGAGGGAGTTTGCCCAGTTGCTCTTAATCTGAGAGGGATCTTGCCCCATTCCACCTCCCTGACTGTCCTCTCCTGTGCTCCTCATGCTCTGTCATGACCACTCTGTCCTTCATTAAATTCATTTCCCAGTACTCACTGCTTCTTCAAGCCACAGAGCCTTTGCACATGCTTTGCTCCTTCAGAGATTCTCTTCCTCACCTTTTTTACCTATTAAATCCTTCCTTCCCTTCAGACCTTAGCAAGACTTTTTTCCCCTGAGAGTCACATCCCATTGGAATATGCCACTCATGGTAAAGCAATAAGTAGTATTTGATTCATCTAGAAAATATTCCCACCAAACAAGCTGACATGTAATTTTAAATCTACTTGAAACCCTAATATAAACACAAAGTTCTTTTTTTCCTAGTTATCTAACTATAATAATGTGTGTATGTGTGTGTATATGTGTGTGTGTGTGTGTGTGTGTGTGTGTGTGTGTGTGTGTGTCTAGAAAATAATCCATCTTTGGGGAAAGTCACAGAGCCAGCCATCTTCTGTCTACAACAAAACAAACTTATCCTGTTTCTGAACTTGCATAATACTATTTTTAAAAAGAGAAGTTACATTAGAAGTCAATCTTTAAAAGAAACCTAAATAAAGTATGATTTAGACTACTTTTTTAAAAAAATATTTCTTTAGTTTTCAATGGAACTTTATTTTATTTATTTATATGCAGGGTTAAGAATCCAACCCAGTGCCTCACACATGCTAGGCAAGCACTCTACCACTGAGCTACAAACCCAGCCCCTGATTTAGACTACTTTTTTTGAGTTATCTTATCACTGACATGACAAGAGTTAATATTCCATATAACTACAAACTTTAGGGTGTAGTATAAAAGTAGATTTTAGTTTTGCTCTTCCATGAATTAATTATGCCATTTTCACTCTATTTTCTCATCTGTAAAATAAGAGATTGTATGATTAATCACTTATAATCTATGAATCTATGGATTTTTTAAAAAAGGGCTAGACTTTTTCTAGCAGGTACACTGTTGTCCCACAGGATTTATATAGCCCCTGCACTCTATTCTGACAAACTAATAGATGTCTAATGGGGGCGATGGCCAGCATCTCACTGGGGAGTTCTTCTTCCTGCCCAGGAGAATGTAAGCCACCCTAAAACTTAAAGTCTCAAATAATTAGTGAATAGCAAAACACAAATATTCAGAAATATATTTAGAAAAGCAAAGCCTCTGATAGATCTAGACCACAAGGGAGCTGGAACTAGGTACAGAAAAGATGGCTCTGGTGGTTTATTTAAGGGGGTACAGCGAAGGCAGGGATAAGGTTTCAGGGGTGGAGTCTTGCTTCCTGATGTCTTACAGTTGGCAGGTTGATTGACATCTTGGCAGGTCACACCCATCTCAGGTGCTTTGTGGACCATGGCAGAGCAGAATAGAAATTCGCATTGTCCCTGGGCAACTGACCAGAGAAAATGTCCACTGGTAATTCCCAGACACCAGATGTTTCTATTTACTAGGCTTCCATGCGCGATGATCCACATACAACCCATGGACGACTGGTGATGGATGTCTTAGGTTTGTTCAGTGGAATTTTCCCAGTCCATCATTCTGCATTGGAGATCCAGATGTGGAACAAATCCCTTGTAGGCAACTCACTGAAGACCTCTTTATAGATACACTATCTTACTGATTCTCAGTAATTCAAGTATTTTACAAAGGAGGGAAACAGGACTTGGAAAGTTAGATGTCTTGCTCCAAGTTTTATGATTAATAAAATGACAGAATTTTTTAAAAATCACATCTTTTAAGAATTTTTATGTAGTACTGAAAATAGCCTACAAAATATTCCTAAGACCAACATTCAAGAGGGGAGTTTCCATTTTATCACAGTATCATTATAGTCATCAAATATTTTTAAGTCTTTACAATCCAGGGAGAAATAAAATATTGCTCTTGCCTAGGAAAGGCATGCAATGTAATTAAGAAAGATCACACTAAAATGATCACAAATTTATTTTCAAAATAAATGTGTATGTCTCAGCTATTAAAAGAGGGAGGATCTCAAACTGATGATCTGCTGCAACGGTGGGATTTTCTTGCTGTTGTTCATGAAAACAAACTTTTTAAAAGATTACATGTCCTCATTCATTTTTCGTAGCCTCACCCAATTTGCTTGATGTTATCTTTATGTCTATTTAATTTGTCAGGCTAACCAGAGGCTTTTTTTTAACAATAACAGCATAAAGCAGAAACCTGTAATTTTATAAACTAAAAACAGATCACAAGAATAAGTAGAGCATTAATTTTCTCTTGTTGAATAAAGATATAATTGTTGGTCACTATGCAGGATTTTCCTGAGTAATTTTTGCACATATTCATTGTCCAAATGCTTCAGGAAACTAAAGCAAACTCCAGCTTTAGTGTTCATGGGACTTCTTAACTCTCAGGATTCTAGCTGGAAAACGTGTTCTTCTCCATGCCTTTGGTTTTACTATCTATTTCTCCATCTCAAAATATGGATGTACATATAATGTTGTTGTAAATGTTTAAAGTTTTAACTTATGAATATTTCAACTACTTTCTATACAGTTCTTTATAGTTATGAAATTCAGTAGCTTAAATGAATTTCAAATACTCTTGTAAAGCGATGCCCTACTGCTACTCTCCCCATTTTATATGAGAACACAGTCCAAGATAGTATGTGGCTGGCTTGATTGAGATTATAAAGAACTGGCAAGTAAAAGCAGATATCTTCCTAGATCTTTCATTAAGTAATTCACTAATCCACACACAGTAGGTAAATGACATTTTTAAATTATGTCGCATCTTATTTTATGGCATACATAAAGATCATCTCAAAATGGATAGAATACCTTAATGTAAGACCTGAAACCATGAAACTCCTAAAAGAGAACATAGTGGGAGAGGACCTGGACATTGACCTTGGCTATGATTTTTTGGATATCACACCAAAAGCTCAGGCTACAAAAACAAAAAACAAATAAACGGGACCATGGAAAACTAAAAAGCTTCTGCACAGCAAAGGAAACAATCAAAAATTAAAATGGCATCTTACAGATTGGGAAAATATATTTTGCAAATCATAATGTGATAAGAGGTTAATAGCCAAAATTTATAAAGAACTCTTACAACTCAATAGCAAAAAAAAAAAAACCCAAATAATACAGTTTAAAAATGGGCAGAGTATCTAAACAGACATTTCTCCAAAGAAGACATAAAAGTGCCCAATATATTTATGAAAAGGTGTTCCACATCACTAACCATCAGGGAATGCAACTAATAACCACTAAAAGATACTACCTTCCACCTATACAGGTGACTATTATCAAAAAGCAAGAGATTAATGTTGGTAAAGGTGTGAGAAAAGGGAAACCTATTACACAGCTGGTGGGAATGTAGATTGGCGCCGCCATTATGGAAAATAGTGTGGAGGGAGGTACCTTAAGAAATTAAAAACCAACTACCACATGACCCAGCAATCCCTCTTCCAGATGTATACCCAAAGGACACACAATCACCACTTAATAAGTTATCTACACTCCTTGTTCATTGCAGAACTATTCATAATACCAAGATATGGAAACAAATGCCCCTTAACAAATAGATGAAGAAAACATCACTCACACACACACACACACACACACACACACACACACACACACACACACACACACACGAATATTATTTAGCCTTAAAAAAAAGGGGGGATCTTGTCATCTGCCACACACGGATGGATTCTAGTTACCCAGGGGGAGAGATAAATCAAAGAATATAAAGAATATAAAATATAAATCAAAGAATATATATAGGATGAAAAAGTCAAGAGATTTAATATAAAACATGAGGACTACAGTAAACTTGTATTTGTAATGTTATTTTTGTTAACCCATTATTAAATCCCAAGTTTTCAATTCTGAAAATACTTCAATGAATTTGACACAGGTACATTAAAATATGTTGAAAATAATAACTTATAGCTTATATATTATATAAATTAATACTGTATTTTATACCATTATAATTACCTTATAGATTAATTATATCATAAATTATATAATATAGTTTTATGGCATGATGGGACAAAACGGATTAAATAAGTGAAATTTAGTTGCTGTTTTCATAGAAAAAGCAATTACATGAAATGATAGTTAATTTGCTGTCTGATGGTAACCATTTTACTATCCATACATATCCATACATATCCCATAACATTATATTGTAAACTTCAAATATACATAATAAACCTTATTTTAAAAAACAGATTATATTGCACTGAGTCTGTGACATTAAAAATGTATCATTCCAATAACATTTACTATTAATAAATCGTTTTCATTAGGCTATTGCTTGGTACACTCCTATTCACTGGAAGCAAGCATGGGAAAAATTGGAGACTGACATTGAATTTGACAGATGTTCAGTCGTAACTCCAACATTCAGAAAGGATGTTTTTCAGTGGACCACACCTACAGCTGCAGTAACTAAAGAAAACCAAGATCAATCTAAGGGGGGAGATACCTCAACATGTCTAGTGGAACAAACTCCACCTTTTATTAAGAGGTAAAGGATATTTTATTTTGTTTGTTCTATTGGGTGATCCAAAAATTAGTAACTGAGCACCTGGGAATGACTGGGTGACAGCTATGTGATGAATAAGTAATATGTCAACCATGGTTAAGAAACTGTTTTGAATAGGAGCCATGTGAGAAGCATAAAAACCGAGGGAGAAGTTTTATACTTGTAGCAATGAAGGCTGACAGTCTTCAGTTGGTCATGTTGAGACCAAGCCACTTCATTTTCCTTCTCACTTTATTCAAGGAAAGGATGCTGCCAGGGTGAAGAGGTGAGATTGTCCTCAGGTCTTTATCAGTGCTTAGGTAGAGAGAGAGATATATATCACTTAGGCATTTAATCTTGGATCAAGAGGTTCAGAATGTCATTCATTTGTATGCAAATATTTCTGGTTGTATAATAAATATTCTGCCCACAAAGTCTAGAAAAGCCATGTTTTCTTGGTTTTAAAGCATGTTTTCACTTTAATTACACTGTCAACACTAGTGCCACAGCATAAGATACCTTTTGGGTTAAAATTTGTCATTTTCTTTTTCAGAGAAAAGGAAATCCCACCAAGTCTTTTCCCCAATCGAAGCCCTTGGGGCCATAGTCCCTCTGTTCCTGCACATCCTTACTGTCCTCTGATTGACCCGTACAACATGTGCACTACTGGAAGCAACTTGGAGAGACAGCCCAGGTGTCAGTCAACCAGACCTGATCCAGCCCCAGGTAAATCAAAAGGGTATTTATTCCATTGGAGAGCAAGGAATGTGTGTGTGTGTTTGATAAGGATTAAAAACCTTCAGATTTAGATCTTCAAGCAAGGCTCCTAAAAAAAAGTATTGTAAACCAATCACATTTACTGTAGCTCAGCGTCTTCTACAGTTCCTGATAAATATCTGTTGAACTAACAAATAGATCAAAAGAACAGCATGACCTGCATAAGTATGTAGGATTCTTGAAGCTTGGAGAAAAGTTTTTTTGTTGTTTTTTCATCAAGCAAGAAAAATTCATCTTACAAGTTATGCTGTACTAAAAATATCCATCTTTTCCAAAAACAACAGTATTAATCCCAAATTCTGATTCATTTTCTATCATAAACTTATTAAGTCCCATAAATAAAGCTTTTTGAGTTGGTGTTATTAACCTGGGATCTGGGAATGTATTCCCCCAGAAGTCCCTGAACCTGTTAAACTTGGTAAAAAATGTGTGCCTACAGGATTTCCCCCAACCCATCCCCAGGGAGAGAGTCTATTAGGTTCAGTAGATGATCGTAATTTAAAAATAAAAACAAAAACCTGGATGAAAAGAACACAATGCCAAAAGACACAATAATGGTCACAGCAACTGCATTTGCAATACACTAAAACTAGAAGCAATCCAATTGTTCATCAACAATATAATGGATAGATTATAAATTATTTATACATAATGAAAATGAATGAACTATTGCTACATGCAAGAATGTCAATGACGTTCATGGGCATAATTTCGAGTAACAGATGTCATACTGAAAGGAATGTGTATTGGGTAATCCCATGTATGTGAAATTCAGAAACATACAAAACTGAACCATGGTGTCAGAGACCAGAATAGTAATCATCTCCAAGAAAAAGAAGGAGTACTTGAAAGGTACCAGACAGTGCATCTAGAATATTGACAGTGCTCCATTTCCTGATCTGAGTAGTATTTACTAGTAAATGTCATGTTTTCAAAATGCTGTGCAATCGTGATTTGTGAACCTTCTTGCATGTATGTTATACTTAAAAATTGTTTTTAAATTTTTGATGACAAAAAAGAAAAAAAGAGAAAAGGAAGAAAGCATTGTTATAGTAATAAGCACGGACAGCTTATACCCTGACAAGAAAGAAGTACATTGATTAAAATCACTCAAAACAAACATTAATTATATGAAACTTATTTAGTGTAGGAGAAAAATAGAATAAATCTATTACTGCATTACAATGTATTCGGAGTTCATTATAATATAGTTTGTCATATAGTTCTGCCATTTCCAGGAATACCTTGTGGTAGAGATGGCTAATTGGTGCCCCCAAACCATTGTTTGTTTAGGCACAGGACCCAGAGGCCAAGGAAAATCTGGACACATGGACACCAAGAATAAAAACTGTTTTTCTCACCTCTGCTGCAGCTAGCAGAACCATGTGCCAACATTCTATATGATGGAATATGGATAGAAATTTTGTATGCAACATCTGGATCATGTTCTTGGAGTTTTAGCTCCCCTGTGTTTTCTTTGTGGCAATGATAGCAGGGTCTGGAGTTGCCGTCTTCAACTCAGAGATGAAGCCATGTGTTGAGGACAGAAGAGCCACCTTAAGTGCCCTGTTTTGGCACATCTCCAGGCTGTTAAATGAGAAAGAAACAATCTTGTTTAAACCATTGTTAAGTTGGATCATTGTATCTGAGCCAGATGGCCCACACAACATTGTTGCCACTTAAGATTTAGTTTCACTTAATAGGCTTCTGGTTAAAAAGAAAGCAAAAATCAGTTAGAACAGACTTTTTAAGACAATTAGGTAAATTTAAATATAAAATGAGCATTAGACATCGAGTTGTTGTTTTGTTAGGTGTGTTAATTGCATATTGGTTGTTCTTAGATTCATACAGAAATTTTTACATACTTACTAATGGGTTGGTGTGTAAGTACAGACATATAATGTGAATATGGTAAAATATTAATGGCTGAATATGGGTGTTCAATATACAAATATGGTTGTATTATTCATTGATATTTTCTGTGTGTTTGGAATTTTTCATAATAAAGTTTGAAAAGATAGACAAGACAGACATTTTGGTAGAAAAGTATGCACCTGGAGCTAGTTGAGCACAAAGGCCTGGCACTGAGTGAACATGAAAAGAACCACAGGATTGGGGCCTTTCCCAAAGCTGATATGTTTGCCCAGTACTGACAGTTTTGTTCCTAGACCCAGAAGCACGGGCTTTCTTACAGAAATTAGTTTGCAGATCTTGGACAACTTTGTCAGTCTCCTTCTGTACCTCAGGTTATGGAAGAAATGAGTCTGAAAATAGTATTTGACAGACATTAGAGTTGATTACTGAATGCACTTTACTGCACACTTTTAATGCATTCGCCTATCATCTGTGATCCATGTTGTACAGTTCAGTGGGATTTGTTTTAATTGGAGACCCTACAGCACTCCTAACTTCAGTGTAGATGTTATTATAGTAATAATTATAATCATTTCTCTTTGTTTCTGAAGGTTACAGAACCCCATGGCAAAAGCCAACCTGTTAGAAAATCAATGAAACTAGAACATAGATAGCCTAACACAGGAATGAAATGAGGATGTATCTCATCAGTGTAAGCTCTATATTAAGATAACAATTATGGAAATTTATTTAAATCGGACTGTAGACAATTGCTCATTACACTTCAATGGATCTGGCTTTTCTATCTTGAGATCACAGTATTTTTTTTTCCATAAGAAACTGTCAGGTGTGATGGCATTTGTCAGTAATCCAAGCTACTTGGGAAGCTAAGGTGGGAATATCACAAGCTCAAGGCCAGCCTTATCAACCTAACTCAGTGGTAAAGCACCTGGGTTCAACCCCTAGTACTACAAAACAAGACAAAAAGAAAAAAAGAAAGAAAGAAAAGAAATTACTTCCAATACAGGTTTGAAATAAATTTTGTCTTCAGATCAGTATCTGTTCTGTTCATCCCTGTTTGTATTTCATAGTTTAAATTTTTTTTCAGAAGAGGAATTTGGAATGTCTAATATCATATTTCTATGACTTGTTAGAATATTAGCCAATATTATATTTGTATATATGGCATTATTACTCAATAACTTGAAATTGTTTGAATCACTATATAGAAATTTTTTAACAAAACAAAACACAAGCATCCGACTATTCTATGGACCAGAAAAGAATAATTATTTAGACTGCTTACTCTCAAATTGAATAGAAAATAATAACTTGAGGGAACATTGCAGAATGCCAACAAGTTCTGCCCATGTTCCATTATCAAATAATGGTACCAAAAATTAGGAACTTCCATGTGAAGGAAAATTTTGTTACATCTTGTATTTGAAGATAACAGCTTTCCTCTTCTGTTGCTTTCAGATAATTTAGATTGAACATCATTATATTTCTACAGCACTATTTTTTAAAGGACAGACAAGTGAGAACATCATTTATGTGCTTCTTTTTGTGGCTGAAATGTTTCTTTAACAACCTAATAAAGAATTCCAAGGTAGAAGTCCTAATAACAAAATAATGAGGTGATGTCATGACCAAATAAAAAAAAATTTCACTGTTACAAAATGAGTACTTTAAATTGCCCTTTCATTATGAAAGACTGTAGCTTCATTTATGGAAATATATGCATTAATTATCCATTTCCTCACACAATTAAAAAATACTATTTCAGGAAGTCAGAGTACTGAGATTAAATTAGCTAGGTGCTAAATATTTCAGGTCCAAATTACCTAATAAATTGCCATCATCCACTGAATTTAAATAGATAAATAGTACTACTACTGATAATCCTGTCATTAAACTTCAAGAACTTATAGATGAGAATTTTAAATAAATGTTATCAGCTCTATAGCACTTTGTTTCTTGAGGAACGTGATTTCAGGGTGCAATTCAAAACCCTCATCCTCAGGCTACTCTGTCTGGAAGGACATACATAAAATATTTACAAGGTGTATTTCATGCCAACAAATGGCTCTGGAAGACGAGAAGTAATGAGCCCCACTCTTCTTGTATCTAACCACTGCCTAGGTAAGGAAAATATCTGAGAATCCTGTTTATATTCCAGATCCATAACTTCCTATTCAAAAAGTTTATACTGTATGTACGAAACACAATCCTGATTCATTAGATTAAGAAACCTATTAGGGGCTAAGCAAATGACTGTCAAACAAAAACACCAAGTTATTGTTAATCTTCCTTGCAGATCACAGTTTCACATGTGGCTTTTGGATGTCCTTTCTTTGTAATCAAATCGTGACAATTTAACTTGATAATACCAAGTTTGCATAGAAAAATAAAGGGTTAGGAGTGCTGAGGAACTAGTCCTGTTTTAGTTTTGGTTTTTCCAAAGTAGCTCATTGTTATCTGTACTTAGAATATTATTTTGCTTTCTTGTCTTTTATTTTATAAGAATAATATAAGAGCTCATATCTGATTTAGAAGTAATCTGAAATTAGGGTCATTCAATTAAACACTATTTCAGTTTGATATACTAGTTTCATATGTAAAAACTACATGTGGTGCATGTGTGTACTGTGTGTGTGTGTGTGTGTGTGTGTGTGTGTGTGTGTGTGTGTATATATATATATATATATATAAACCAAGAGAGAGAGAGAGAGAGAGAGAGAGAGAGAGAGAGAGAGAGAGAGAGAGAGAGAAGAGAGAGAGAGATTCTGGAGACTAAAGCCAGGGACATTCTATCACTGAGTTGCATCCCTGAGATAGGGTCTTGCTAAGTTGAACAAACTGGCCTGCAAGGGGAATACTCCTGCCTCAGCCTCCTAAGTAGCTATGATTACAGGCATGTGCCACTACTCCCAGCTGTGAAAGTTATATTTATACAAATAACCTTTTAATCCCTGCTTAAGTAAAATAATCCTTCCATATCTGTAGTTTCAGCATCCACAGATCTGCCCAACAGTAGATCAAAAATATTCAGAAAAAAATGCATCTGTATTGAACAGGCATTTTTCTTGTCATTATTCTCTAAAAAACAAAGTGTAACTATTATTTACATAGCATTTACAATCAATCTAGAAATGATTTTATAATCAATCTAGAAATGATTAAGTATACAGGAATATGTGTGGGGATTATATGCAAATTTTTATAATCAATTTCATAATCAATCTAGAGATGATTAGGTGTACAGGAATATGTGTGGGGATTATATGCAAATGCTATACCATTTTATATAAGGGACTTGAACATCTCTGGGGATGGGGACAGGGGAACTGGAACCAATCTCCATGGTTACCCAGGGACCACTATATATGGGAGTGAGGAAGACCCCACATTTGTCACTTTGCCGACCAGTATAGAGTTGACTAAAATGGCAGGTGAGACAGCATCCCCTTCTGACCATTGAATTCTTTATGGATCCCTTATAAGTCAGTCCGATTCCTCCACCTCCCTTCCCTAACTACTATGCTATTATGGTAGGTCTAAGTGTAGAAAGCATTTGAGGAATTTTATAAGGCTGGTCGGATTATTCTACAAACCTCTTGTTTATATAGATATAGATACAGATCTTCCAGATGGACATTTTCTCCTCAAGATTTTCATTAATTATGTCTTAAAATATATTTTTTTAAATGATTTTTAAATGATTCACTGAAAACGTGGACTTAATAAATGATATTTTCCAAGTAGTTTTCAAGCTACTTGGTTCAAGTCTCCATTAAATATGATCCTTAAACCATGGGTTTCTTCTTCAAATGAAGGAAAATTCGTATGTTTAGGATTTGTTTTAATGTGAAATGTCACTGCTTGGAATAGTGGACTGAACTTTTGTCCTTCCCCTCCCTATTTTCAGAGACCAAGAAAAAAAGGAAATCTAAGTTACAAAAGCAATAAACAACCAACTCAAACTTTAAAGGTAAGTAATGGTATTGCAAATTTACTTTCTCGGCAGAAAGATAAGAAGACAAATAGTTTACAGAAATGTCTTTAAAAGTCATCAGAACATGGATTGTTCCTATTTATCTTGCAGTTACTAATTTCCTGTTAAATTCTTTGGGGGCCATTTGTTTTTATCTTCCTGTTGAATGATAAACTTTCTAAGAAGGGGAAACAAGGACATGTCACCTCTTACTTCTTGCCCCAGACCCTTGTCCTATCCTTGTTGATGGATACATAATGAACACTGAAATCTACAGTGATTTCTAATACTCAATAACTCCACAACTCTGCAACTATTACAATTCATTTTAGTTCCTATGGTCAATAGACTTGTAATTACATAACAGAAGCTTTTCTGCCTAAAGACACTGCTGTGATTGCATATTGTTTACATGCTGATGAGAAGAAGCTGAGGAGCTCTGCCTCTACTCAGTTGCCAGTCGACCTTATATCACTTAATCCGTCACTTCTTAGGTTTGCATCAACTTTTTCATGGTCATGTCAACTACTAGGTAATCGGGGAAGATCCCAACAAATGGGGTTTTCTGTTTTTTAAGTGATTAGGTTCATATCCTTCTTGCAAACGCTGATGACGAGGTGATTTTTCAGCCTTATGGTCAGTGCTATTCTCTAGGACATATTCATGACTGGGCTATGGTTTTCCTACTCATTTTTTTCTGACTTTTGGATTATTCCCTGGCTTAAGACTGAAACTACTGCCACCCAACCTCTAGCTTGTTAATTTTGACTTTACTTCTCCACACAACCGATGGCCTCTTGTGTCCCTACAGCCACCTTCCTGTGTGTACCAACTTTTTAGGTTTTCTCTGATGGCTGAACTGTTCAATTGCCTTCAGCTGTCCCTCCCTAGATTTCCCCTAGTCCTCATCTTATGTTCTTCCGGAGGTCACTTACTCTTAACGAGCTCACTCTCCTCACTCCTATAACATCAAATCCTTGAACTTCCTACTTCCTAAAGATGTGTTGGCCACAACACCCCTATTTTAGGTTTTTGTCTGTTTTTATCTTCCTGTTGAATGATAAACTTTCTAAGAATGGGAAACAAGGACATGTCACCTCTTACTTCCTGAAACCCTTGTCCTATCCTTGTTGGTGGATACATAATGAACACTGAAAATCTACAGTGATTTCTAATACTCAATAACAACTCTGCACCTATAACAGTACATTTTAGTTCCTATGGTCATTTTAGTTCCTGTTTTAGTCAGATCTTTCATCCCTGTGACCAAAAGACCTGAAAAGAACAAGTTAGAGGAGAAAAAGTTTATTTTTGCTCACAGTTTCAGATGTTCAGTCCATAGTCAGAAGACTTCATAGCTTTGGGCCTGAAGTCAGATTATACATCACGGTGGAAGAGTGTGGTGGAAAGCAGCTCAGCTCACGACTGCCAGGAAGCAGAGAAAGAGCTTCAGTAACCAAGGACAAAATATAAACCCCAAAAGCACACCCTCAGTGACCTGCTTCATCTAGCCACATCCTGTCTGTGTTTACCACCGGGTTAATCCTTATCTGTGGTTTAATCCACTGTGTAGATTAAGGCTCTCATAACCCAGTCATGTCACTTCTGAACATTTTTGCATTATCTCACACATGAGATTCTGGGGGACATCTCATATCTAACCTATAAAACTGCCTACTCAAAAGATTTCTTTGTTTCTTAAAGGCCATTGGGCTTGTAAAGGAACTTATTTCAACAATTCCACTTAAGAACTAAAATCAACCAGTTACTAACCACAAAACCAAAACTAAATTACTCCAAAAAATATTTTAAACTCCAAAAAGTATTTTAAACTCCAAAAAGTATTTTAAACTCCAAAAAGTATTTAAACTCCAAAAAGTTGGAGAATCCAGCCTTGTCTTCCAGTGATATAATTCTTGTTCCCAAAAGTCTTGAATTCTGTCTCCACTGGTATTTCCTCCAGTTGCCACAATCCTTAGTAGGATGCGGTTGAAATGCAAAGGGTAGGATGTGAAATCTGCACAGGCATTAGCAACCAGCACTTCTACCATCCAGTCACCACGTTCACTCTCTGTAGCCAGAAGTAAATCCTACTGAATAGTGAACTTGCAGATGAATTGAAAAGGGGGCATATTATTATAAACAAAACAAGCATTTGTTTGTTTGGGTTGGAGAAAAAAAAGTGTTCTGAATCATCTAATTTGATATTGAATAATATATTTTTGGCAAAGTGTTTTAGCCTTTCTTAATCATCCTCAGTTACTACTTTGCTTAACTGTGATGGCCACAGATATGTTCTTTGATTCTCTCTCATGCAGATTCTTTGGTAGATTTGATTGCTTTTTGTATCCTCTCTGTTTTGAAAAGTTCTTGGTATTTTTAGATACCTTTTGTCTTCTCAGAGTCTCCATCCCACTCTAAGAAGTACCTTTAGGATTGACCATCAATGTGCCAGGAGCAAACATTCTTTTTTATTCATTTTAGGTATCTATCAATGAATCAATTATCAATTGCACTCAGCTCCTGAGACTGGCATATCTGTTCAGAGACAAATCCATCGTTGGTTCAGTTCTTGTAGGCATTCATGAGCATTCCCTAGCAACTTAATAATGCTACACACTTGTACAGAATGTCACTGCTTTCACGTCATCTCATTTGTGCCTACGAGGTTAGGCAGTTCTGACCTCATCTCCAGTCTATGGCTGAAGAAACTTTAGCTCAGAGAGATTAAGTAATTTACCTAAAGCCACTTACATAGTAAATAGCACAATTAAGGCTAGAATCTCAGCCTAAAGCTGATGTTCTTACACACCCTTCTGCCAATTAAGTTTAAAGATGGTTTTATTGCCCCACTTCCAACCTATCTGAAAGGAGAAAACACCACACACTTAGAAGTGACACTAGAAAAACATTTTCATCATGAGAGGAGTTGGCCACTATGAGAATTTAAAGCCTGATCTATACTGCAAAAAATATTTAGGTCTTACTTCCAAAATTGCTAACCTAACAGAATGCCAATTACTGAGACAAACACAGGCAAATCAAAGTTCAACCTCAGGGGTCTTTGCTAATCATGTTTCTATGCAACAACTGATTAAAAACACACAGTGTAGTCAGAGTCAGAGCTTTTAAATGCTTTCTTTACTCAGTACTTTGCTCAGAATGTGTGGGAGTTCTATTGTGTGACTAATGGGCAGTGTAAGTGGGTGATGTCACACAATTTTGCAGGGGGAAGAAAAACTTTCCATAAATTAGAGAACACTGGGAAAGCCAGGAAATTATCCTTTGTGGCTGCCACCTGCCATATGAACACTCGTAATCACTGGGAGACACTGAGGATGGTAGGATAGAGAATAAAAAAGAAAGAAGGAAAAGAACCGGGTCTTGTTATACATCAACAGCTCTGTCCTAAAGAGTCTGCAATTGCTTAGAACCTATAGAAAGCACCAAACCTTGCTAACACAGGCTATTAAATCCATGGCAAACTCACACACACAAGGAACTCCTGTACATTGTATTAGGCACTCCTAATGAAGTATTGATGATGGAGTCCTTTGGTGAACTGAGCCATAATCACACATCTTTACTGTTCTGAATGGTCCATATCAGGAAGTCCAAACATAGGATCTTCTTTTAAAAATTCAAGAACTCTGCCTGGGGACCTCGACAAGAACTTTCCATTACAATTTCTCCTGGGCCCGGGTTTTATGAATGATAAGACAGAATTTAGCAGCCCAAGATGAGGGATTAATATTTAATGTTCTTTGCTAAAGGAATTTTGAAAGCCTAATGTTCACATTTTCTGATGTTTTCTATCTATAGTCATAGTATATTGTTTCAATCTCTGCAGTGATAATATTTTTACTCCTCTCAGTCCCCAAAGTTCAAAATTCTTTAGTCACGTGGCATATCATCAATATTTGTTTTCTGCAACTATCTTCTTTCCAAGTTTGTTGCCTTCCTTGTTCTTGACCTCCCAGCTTCGCCCTTACTATGTCACGGTTTGATTTAATAGGAAGAATCAAGAGTCCTGAAGTGCAGGCTCCACACTGTGCTATTGAAAAACATTCCATAGTTTCAAGAAAACTAAGCACAGTAGCAAATGTTTCCAGTTCCACTTTGGTAGAGGAGATACAGAACACAGGCCTCTGGGGTGTGAGGCCTCCTGCTAAGACTTCAACAGAAGCCTCAAGCCAACTGCACATGGGAAAACAAAGCCACCTTTTTTTCTATTACACTTTAAGTATGTTACTTGGTTTCTCCAAGTTTGGGGTACATTTTACTTAGATCTTTAAAGGAAAAGATGATTAGGTACTACTCAAGTACCACCAAAATGGAAATGAAAAACATGAACATTAAAAAATGAGTTGCTGCTGGGCATAGTGGTGCACACCTGTAGTCCCAGCAGCTTGGGAGCTGAGGCAGGATCATCGTGTGTTCAAAGCCAGCCTCAGCAACTTAGCAAGGCCCTAAGCAACCCTGTCTCTAAATGAAATACAAAAAAGGGCTGGAGATGTGGCTCAGTGGTTAAGTGCCCCTGAGTTCATTCCCCAGTACCAAAAAAAGAAATGGGTTGCTAAACTGGTTACTTCAGAACCATTTTGATCTTCATATTAAAGACCAGAAACAAACAATATTCATCACCATCTAATGAAACAGCCAAGTTGCTTAGGAGTCAAAAAGCCCCATATATCATTAACCATTATGAAAACCATAACCTAAACAAGTGCACATGTTACAGAGTTGAGTTAGCAGGAGGAAAAAAAAAAAACCCTTTTACCTTGGCAAAAGTTGAGATGTCACAGAAATAATTTCCTATCTTCTGTGATTGTCCTGAATCCATTTATACACTAAAGAACTGCTAATTCCAAGTCTGAAATTTAAGGTTAATGTGAATGGAAAGACTGTACACATCTGAACTTTACATTGCTATAACAGTTTCAGTCTACTGCCATTCTGAAATGCATTTTGCCATGTTGTCATTTTGTTTTATTATTTTATTTTTGCTCAGGACACCAAGAGGGTACCTGGCATGTCACATCATGCAAGAGAGGTAGCCAGCAGCCAGCAAGAAAATGGTTTGTTTCAGAAAAGATAAGAAATGTGATCATTTTTTTAAAGAGAGAGGTAAAGTTAGTTTGTTTTTCTAAGCAGTTGAGAACAAGATCATTGATCAAAAGCAAAACCAGAATGGTCTTTATTTTGTTCACATGAAGCTTACCATGTGATTTTAGTCTTTTATACCCTGTCCAACCGTTAGATATAAACTCCTGCTATTTCTACAGGTGCATTTTCCAATGTGTAGTGTATCAGGAATTATGAATCTTGTGCCCAGTTATTCTATACTATTGGAAACTATAGTGTGGGTTAGTTCAGCTTTCTAATTATTAGAGACTTACAATGAGTGAAATTCTAATACACACTACAATATGGATAAACTCTACAATGAGTGAAACTTCTATGGAGTAACAAATTGGAACTTTGTTAACCTGTCCACAGTTATCTCAAATTCAGCCAAAGCAGTGTCACCTTCCATCGTATAATACCATAAAAAAATCCCACAGATAGGAAATGAGAAAGGAACAAAAAATATTTTGATCAAATAATGGGATGGAACTATTTTTTAACCATTATTTTTCCTTATTCTATAGCTATCTTATTATATGCCTATCTATAGTGTGGAAGTTGAAAAAATAATGGAATATTCAGTTATTAATTTTGATCCTGTATGTAGTCAGAAAGTATGATTGCTTCTGATTCTGAGAAGATACCCCTGTTTAAATTGATTTATGTGCATTTGTATAGCACATGCAGGAAGATGGGGTGCCTGCTATCTTGTGATATGAGAAGGAAGAGAGAGTGAATTTTTTTCCCCAAATATCTGATTATAAAAAATAAAGAGTAAAATAACCCAAGACTTTATTAGTATTGACCATGAATAGAAACTCACTGAGTTTATGGTTCATTTTTTTCCAAATATCAAGAGCTAAAAAATTACTTACTTAAAAAGATACGTCAAGGGATTCTAACAAATATGTGAACACTAATGTTCGTAGAGTATTATTCACAGTAAACACAAAGTAAAACCAACCTGAGGGTCCATCTTCAAATGAGTGGACCTTTTGAAATATGGAATACATTGCAAGGAATGTTATTCAAACCTAAAGAATGAAATTCTAATGCATACTACAACATGGATAAATCTTGAAAACTTTATGCTCAATGAAATAAGCCAGACACAAAAATCACGAATATTTGTATGCTTTTACTTATCCCAATAAGAAAATTTATAGAGATAGGAAGCATGATAGAGTTTGCCAGGGATGTGGGGCAGCAGGAAGAGTGGGAAGTTAGTGCATCATGTGCACACTGGGATGACAAAAACAAATCCTGGAAATGGGTGATGCTTGCCCAACATTGTGAAAGTACTTAATGCCATTAAACTGAACATTTGAAAATAATTAAAATGAGTTTTTAAGAAGCCTCTAATAAAATCTGACTAGCATTTCCAAGATAAAAAACAAAGAAGTCATCTTCCAATTTAAAGCATCTAACAAGACATCCATTGTTTGACAAAATAATTTATCATGCACATTTTATTCTAATATAAAAGAGATTCATATTAAGTACCTGTGTGATGATGCAGAATATTTTCTAGCTGCTGGGCTGTCCAGATCCCATTAGCTCTTCATTCCTGAGACATTCAGGGATAGACTTGTACATTTTGGGGAAACTGTCAATCAACCTGTATGCCTCTTGGTGCCATTAAGTGTTGTCTTTGAATCATGGGTTGGTTAACATATGTAGTTGTTCTTTTTCATGGTTACCACAGAAACTGGGTAGTCATGATGTTTTGAAAAGACTAGCAGAGAATGTAAAAATGTACAATTAAAGTTAACTTGTTTCATGGTCCATAATTTCTTCCAGCTGTCTCTCCATTTGTGATGATTATTATGTTCACATTGGGAGTATAAACATACAACAAGAAGGGTTCTGGTGACTCTGGCCAATAAGGGATCTCACCCCTAAAAGACTTGCCTCCCAACCTATTTCCCTGAAAGATTTGTAATAGAAACACATGACACAAGTGGAATGTAAAGTTCAGGTGTTTTCAATTACTTCCCTCCTGTGATCAGCAGTTTTCTAGATCCAAAACATGTTTCAACTCAGAACATGCTGTTTTGAAGATGTTGTATTTGAAGACTGTTTCAGGAAAATTTTCATCTGCATCTCTGATTCATTGATGCTTCATCGATAAAATATCTCAGCTCTTCTACACAAGTATTTCCTGGATTGGTCGTCAAAACTATGGTACAGTTAAATATTGCTTACTTTTGTGAAGCATGCTCTTAAAAACTGTATAACCTTTTGCCTTTGCAAGAGAAAAGAGGGGGAAAAGCTTAGCTCTGGGACTTACAGTAGATTCCTTGTCAGTTACCTCACTGCAGAATATTCCAGCACAATGCCTAAACTTCCTTCTTGGTCAGGTCTTCGGTCTCTCTCAGATGGTGTAAATTGGAGAAAAGACACCCACTTCTGCTTCATTAGTTGCCTGTATGTCAAATACAGGCTAGACTATTCAGGGAATACTAAAAAAAAAAATGTGTGTTTAGAGCATTTTATTTTAACTTTCTATGAATGGAAGTTATAAGATTGATTTTTATGTTTGAGCAGTCTTGGATAGCAGTGAGCTTTGCCACTTTATTATTACCGTTTACAGTTTACATGCCACACCCTATTTACAAACATCTTAAAGCCATGGACAGTGGTGCCTGCCTGTAATCCCAGGGGCACTGGAGTCTGAGTCAGGAGGATCATAAATTGAAGGCCAGTCTCAGCAACTAAGTGATGAGATCCTAAGCAACTTAGCAAGACCCTGTCTCAAAATAAAAAACAAAAAAACTGGGCATATAGCTCAGTGGTTTACTTTTTGGTACCAGGGTTCAATCCCCTGGTAATAAAAAGTAAAAAAATAAAAAACAAAAATACCTTACAGCAATTGTAATGTTTTCATTAACATTTGAATGATCATTGTTAAATCATTCACTTTAGGAAAACAAACTCATCTACAGATGAATAAACTAAATTATAATGAAAAAGACTAAATAATCCACAAGAGGTGAACATTTTAGACTAAATAATCTAGACTAAATAATCCACAAGAGGTGAACATTTTAAGCAGCCCCCCTCAAAAAAAAATACACACATGCATGCACTGTAGCTTTGGCAGGAAATAGTGAAAGAAATTATGAAAGAGTAAATACTGTTCTTGTGGTAGGGTATATTTGCTTAATTGTTAATTAACTGGGAAGAGGAATCCACATTTTCAGAGTATCAGGGCTAGAGTTCTCTCAGGCAGTACTACTCTTGGCACTTTCTTTCAGCTCCCAGTACAGGTGACATTAATATTTAGCTATCTGAGAAAGTTTTAAATTTGTAGTAACAATAATGGCATTGAGGGAGATATTAGTCAAGGGTACAAAGTTTCAGTTAAACAGGATGAATGAGTTCCAGAGATCTTAGTAACTACATGGTGACAGTAATTAACAGATATCACATTCTTTGAAAATTACAAAGAGAGTAGACCTTAAATGTTTTAACCACAAAAGATGTGGCTCAAGCGGTAGCGCGCTCGCCTGGCATGCGTGCAGCCCAGGTTCAATCCTCAGCACCACATACAAACACAGATGCTGTGTCTGCCAAAAACTGAAAAAATAATATTAAAAAATTCTCTCTCTCTCTCTCTCTCTCTCTCTCTCTCTCTCTCTCTCTCTCTCTCT